CTAAAAATGGAGGGGCGTCTTATACACGGGGGGGTGGGGGGGGGCGAGAGGAGAACCGCGGTTGGGAAACTGCCGATACCTCTGCAAACAAGCCTCACGAGTGAAACTTCCGATTGCAGAGACAAGCTTTCAGGTTTCCTCCAATCAAGAGCCTTATGTACCCGACGTCAGCTGATGCTGCGGAGAGCGTGTAGCCAGCGCCCAGATGCAACAGGGAGCCCATAAAAATGCAAGAAAACAAAAAAAAATACCGGTACCAGGAAGCGGCTGTCTTAGGCCCGATTCACAATGAGCGATTCGCAAATTGCGCGTTTGTTTGCGCGATTTGCATTTTGCATTTTTACAAAACGCTCGTCCCTAACGCGCTACAAAACGGCCCACGCCTGAAAAGGTCCAGGTATTACTTTGGGCCGTTTTGTTGCGCGTTTCCATTGGGATACAGCCAAGTAGCCTTCGGAAACGCGGTAAAAAAACGCACGACGGTCGCGCGACAGACGCGCATATGCAATACGCCTAGGTGTGAACGAGACCTTACACTGCTTGACTAATGAGGCAAACAATATAGAAAAAAAGAAATATTTATGACCAGCATAAATATTATCAACATTTGTTTTCTTGTTTATTTTTACACATTTTTTTTTAATATTGTAATAAATGTAAAAAAAATATATTTACAATATTTAGGCATGCCACAAATATTCCTGTTTTTCTCTGTATAGTCTGCCTCATCATTAAATATATATTTTTATAGTCAAGCAGTGTAAGGATCTGAATTGGACCTGAGAATTGTTCACCATGTCTCTGGTCACAAAGTCAGAACGTGTTTACAGGATGGAATTTTGGGTGTGAAAAAATTATTCTACAGGGGTGTTCCAGGATCACCAGCAGGTGTGTTCTCCAATAACCTACAGGGGTGTTCCAGGATCACCAGCAGGTGTGTTCTCCAATAACCTACAGGGGTGTTCCAGGATCACCAGCAGGTGTGTTCTCCAATAACCTACAGGAGTGTTCCAGGATCACCAGCAGGTGTGTTCTCCAATAACCTACAGGGGTGTTCCAGGATCACCAGCAGGTGTGTTCTCCAATAACCTACAGGGGTGTTCCAGGATCACCAGCAGGTGTGTTCTCCAATAACCTACAGGGGTGTTCCAGGATCACCAGCAGGTGTGTTCTCCAATAACCTACAGGGGTGTTCCAGGATCACCAGCAGGTGTGTTCTCCAATAACCTACAGGGGTGTTCCAGGATCACCAGCAGGTGTGTTCTCCAATAACCTACAGGGGTGTTCCAGGATCACCAGCAGGTGTGTTCTCCAATAACCTACAGGGGTGTTCCAGGATCACCAGCAGGTGTGTTCTCCAATAAC